AAAAAAAACAAAAGGCAGAAATAGAAGCGAAACCTTTGTTGAATGAATAGTTGCAGAGAAGCTTCTCTTTGTTACTGTGCATTCGAGTCTTAATGACACAAAGAACAGCAACCCCCAAATCCCGCAGTCTTGCCTTCTTGAGGAAGGCATCTGCCTACCACTCTGGCAAACTTTTGTTTGGGTGCTGGGGAGGGGAGGGTAGACTGGTAGGTGGATAAATGTTTTTAACAATCTGAGCACAGACATTTCAGGTTTGTTTGTTGACCCTTGAGAAATTCCCCTGAAGGGTGAGCTTTTGTGCAATCATAGGGGCATAGAGTGCATGACGCACCCAGCTGCTGCTCAGCAAGTAGCAACACCAGTGGCTGGTTTCAGGCCGGGCAGGTCTGCGCTACCTGCACAGGTTTCAGTTTATGATGCGCAGCAACTCACATACTGGCTCAGCGTCACAAAGATGTGGACTGGTGGTGGCTGTCTGAACACGACTGAGCCACTAAAACTATTTGTAGACTGACAACACCCTGTGTATTGCTGATGTTGGTACTGATATCGGCACATGTCCGTATAACAATGTGGAACCGTCCATTTTGGTGCAGAGGAGTTCACTCATTGAAGGGCTTACCTCCTTCTTCACATGCACACTAAGAAAGGGTAGGCCGATGGCAAACTGAGTGACAGACTTTGTGGCTTAATGTCACATCACTAGGAAGCAGGGAATTTGGGGCTATCACTCAGGAAATCCAGCTGATTGTAGGTTTTTCCAGGGCATCTTGCTGCATGGGGATGAGGGAGCAGAAAAGGACCTGGGTTGTGGGAGGAAGAATAGTATGTGCAGGCCATCGGGTTTGTGGGTATTCTCCATGCCAGGGTCTAGCTACCGTTCGTTGTTTCTACGTCATTGGTATTGAGGGTTCTGCAAATTAGACTGGACACAACATTTCAGCTTAATGGAAAGTTTCTCTTGTTTTTTATCAGGAGTGCGGCTGAGAGTGTCTGTGTGAAATGGAGAACAGCTGCTCACTTTGGGGAGCTAACCACAGCCCACAGTCAAGCCTGATAAAAGATCAGAAAAGGCGGGACTTATTTCGAACAAAGGTGTCATAAGCTTATAGGGTAGAGATGAATCTGCCAGCAGAAAGTGGGCAAGATGCAGGATTTGAAACAAAGTGACTTCAGCAAAAGCCCAAGGACAGATATCAGCCAGCATCAGTGTATGGAGAAGGAGCTGTACACTGAGCAGAGAGCCAAGAAAAAGGGCGATGATACTAAATACATTCATAAGGCAAGTAGAGGAAGTCATCATCAAAATAACCGCCAAGGAACAGGAAAGGCCTGGCTTTTTTTCCCTTTCCGGTGAGATGTTGACATTATGAGACCTCACATCAGTATCTTCTAAAGGTGTAGGTCTCTTGGGTGGACAATAAACAATGATGACAGTAGACCTTATGCAGGAGAGCAAAGCCAGGAAAGGAGCTAATCAGGGTCTGAGGTGAGCAAACTGCTAGAAAGTTCCTGTCATGCAATGCCAAGCATCTGAAATGCCTATGTCTGTCGTTCGTAATATGTCAAACTGAAATCATAATTCAAAGCACTGTTTTGTGAAATGAAAGTTAACTAACAAAATGCCTCCACATGGTAAGGGCTGAATACAGTGTGCGTGCCTCCCTGAGCTCTCCCGTGTGGCAGGAGGCATGTGGTTTAAATAAAAACACATTATGACAAAATACCATACGGGAGTAAATAGATCCCCCAGTCTGGCACCAAGTTAGGAAGTCAAAAACCTTGCTGGGCATTGCTTAGCAAGCAAAATGGACAAACCCAGAGCTGTTTCAATTCAAACTGCCTTTCCCTCTCTCCCCTCTGCTTGTCTAAATGAGATGATCGGTACACCTCTGGAAGGTGATAATTACATTTTTAATCTCCTTTGCTTTCAAGTTGCAGACTTGAGCCACAGTATCTGTGTCACAGTGGACAGAGTCCCAGGCGACCAAGGGGTCCAGTAGGCTGCTGTCTCTTGCAGAATAGATTAAGTGCACATTGCCGCAGTCTTGCTGGCCAGGGCTGTGGTCTCAACTGGAATCCCGGATGGGGCTACTACCTCTCCCCAGCACAGCTTGGTCTGTGGGAGTCTTACCAACTGAGCCCACCTAGAACTCTCCGGTGGGGATGACTTTGTATCCCCTTTACCATCAGGCAGGAAAATGGTTATTTCAAAGCCATGGGGGAAGCAGAGTGAGAAGAGATACTGGACTTGCTGGAAAGGAATGTTGGAGGTGTATGAGTGCGTGCGTGTATGCGTGCGTGCGTGCATATGTGTGTGTGTGTGTGTGTGTGGTTTTCCTTGCCCAAACTGGGGCAATGCTATGTGAGGGGAGAGAATACTCAAGTAAATATGGTATGGCCCTGCGAGTCTGTAATTTGAGCCTGGTGTCTCCTGAGAGTTCTCAACTTTTGTGGCCCCTGGGCAAGAATTAACCCATCCTTTTTCCACATTTCTCTCTCCCAAACTTGGCTGGAATCCCAGGCAGGGTGTTTGTATTTAACCCTTCTGCTGCCTCCTCCAGTCCTCCTGTGTCGGGCAGCCCCTGCTGAGTCAGTCCTGTGTGTGAAGGACAGACCAGCCTGCGGGCACCATGGGCTAGGAGGAGGATGCATTCCCTCCAGCTGGTGACTGGCAGCTCTGGGTTTCAGGGGTTCAGGAAGATCCACTTCCTTGGTCTAGGAGTGTGAGTTAAAGCCCTAGGTTTGATGACTAATGAGTCTTTCAAGTTTCTGAGCGGGGTGAGCACAGTCACACATTAGAGCTGAGGTCCCAGGGCACTCCAGATTTGCATGAGCTGCAAATGTGGTCAGTGGAAATAAACTCTCGATTCAGCGCCGTGGCACGTGACTTCCTATTTCTGTAAGGTACTTCCAAGGGACTTCCTCTGACAGTCACAGAGTCCCAGGAGACTGCGCTCAGTGCCCTGGCGAAGTTTACTTCCAAGCCCGGATAGTCGTTTTCTCTGGGATACGGTTGTTAGTTTTCTTTCTTCTTCTTTCTCTTTCCTCTGCCATTGGCAGCCTGCAGGAATCTGGTGGCTCCTGTCCGTGATCGGAAGCTGAACACACTGGTGCAGATCTCAGTAATCCACCCCTCAGAGCAAAGTCTCACAAGATACTCAAGCACGGAGATTGTAGAGGTGAGCTTGCAGCGCCTGCATGCCTGTTTGTGTGTCTGTCTCCCCCTCCTCTCTTCTCCTCCCCTCCCCTCTCTTGCTCATTCAGACAGCTGAAGCTAGTAGTTCATGACCTGTCATTATGCTCTGTGGCTGCCTTCTGTGTTAAGGGGAAGCATTCTGAGGTTATTAAACCCGTGCTGGTAATGTATCAGCACTAACACATGGGGGAAGAGCTTACCTTGCCATGAAGGATCTTATTCTTCTTGAGTTGAGTGAAAGAAAAACCCCCAAATCTCTGAGTCAGACACCAAATAGAGGGAAAATAAGAGTATAGATTTTAAATTAAATGGAATGAATGTTTATTTTGGAGGGAAGAAAAAAAAATTTCAGTACTCAGAGAAGTTTTCGACCTGTCAAGGGTTTTGCCCTTTTCATATTTTCTTAGATTCTTAATTCCTTTGTGGAACTTCATGTCCACTGTGTGTGTGTGTGACTTTAAAGTGGATGTTTTCAAAGGTAGGTAATTTCACAAACCATAATGTTTCTAGGCAAAAGGTGTAAATATTAGTCACCAGATGAGAGATTTCCTATTTACATTTATTGTTACTAATATAACGTAAAATGTGTCTGGAGGAAACTGGTTATTGCTTGGATCAGATTCAAAAGAGGAAGTGTTTCCCTTTTCATTATTTTGTTCTGATCGTTTATATTTCACAGCCTTTGTGTATGTGTGGTATTTACTTGAATCTCTGGGCCAAAGAAGGTAAGCTTGGAGATCCTTGGGCTTGGTTTACCTTTTCTAGACTCTGCTTTGTCTGCCCTGAGTGCGGAGCTCTCTGTGACACCTAGGGAGCCTGCCCAGAGCCGGCTCGCCCAGGGCTCAGCCGCCTCTGGAAGCAGTTGGTGGAATAAATGATTCAGACTCCCCGTGTCTGGGAGGGGAAGAGCCGGGCCTGGCCTACCACGCTGCCTTTGCCCTTTGGAGACTTGATGTCCCGACGTGCACAGTGAGGAGTCAGTGCCCTTGCTGGCTTTATAAACTGATCTTACTCTTATTTGAAAAACCTGGCTAAATAGGAAATAAAAAGTTCAAGTATAATTCTGACTTAGTTATTATTATTATTTTAAATACTGTCAAAAACCTTAAATGTAGTACTTTAGTTTGACACATTTCAAAATTTTACACTCGGACTTAAAAAGTTCCTTTTTTGGCTGTTTTCTTCACTGCCTGTTCCAAAATGTCTAAGGAAGTGGCAGACAAAATGGTAGTATTTGTTGAGTAAAGGAAGAAAACATAAATGTGTAAATAAAGGACTGGATACATG